GATGGGCCCATGATGCTTCAGGCCATCAGGGCCGAGATGCCACCTATAGATGGGCACGAGACCAAGGGATGGATATAACCATGGACACTATTTCCCAGGTTATTCATGACTGTGAAACCTGTGCTACCATTAAACAGGCCAAAAGGTTGAAGCCCCTGTGGTATGGTGGACGCTGGGACAAGTATAGATACGGAGAGGCATGGCAGGTCGATTATATCACATTGCCACAAACCCGCCAAGATAAACACTATGTGCTTACCATGGTGGAAGCAACTACAGGATGGTTAGAGACATATTTGGTACCACATGCAACAGCCCGAAATACCATTCTAGGTCTTGAAAAGCAGGTCCTGTGGAGACATGGCACTCCAGACCGAATTGAATAAGACAACGGAACTCATTTCAAGAATAATCCAGTGGCCACTTGGGCACGGGAGCATGGTATTGAATGGGTATATCACATTCCATATCATGCACCCACTGCTGGGAAAGTTGAAAGGTGTAATGGACTGTTAAAACAACTCTGAAGGCACTAGGTGAGGGTACTTCCAAGAACTGGGACAAGCACTTAGCCAAGGCCACCTGGCTGGTTAACACTAAAAGCTCTGTCAATCGAGTTGGTCCTGCCCAAGCAGAATCCCTCCACACTGTAGATGGAGACAAAGTTCCAGCGATCCATCTAAGAGGTATGTTAGGGAAGGCTGTTTGGATTACTCCTTCCTCAGGCCAAGACAAACCCATTCGTGGGATTGTTTTCGCTCAAGGGCCCGGAAATACCTGATGGGTAATGAGAAAGGATGGAGAGATCCACTGCGTGCCCCAAGGAAATTTAACCTTGGGGAAAAACTAATCATGTGCTTTGAGTTGTGTTTTGCAGGAAACCAGTCACCAAATGAGAAAGGCCTGAACAGTTGATGCTGGTATCCAGTAATAGACCAGCCCAGACCAGAGGACAAGCCCTGAAAATCAGAACTGTGATTGTGACCTAAGGGCCAAGAATGAGAACCAAGCCAATCCTAATGCTGATGCTGATTCTTCTACAACAAGATGAATGCTCTAAAGAATGAACAAGGACTATATACAAATATGTATACGTGTATATAGGCGCGGAATATAAATGAACGCAAAATATAAGTGTTACGTAAAAATAGTATGGAATAAGGGGTGGAGAATGTGATGGTTTTAGTCTAGGCCTTCCCGGTGACCAGTTTGTAACCAAGGAAGTAGCCAAGTACCCAGTATTCCATACAATTTTTACGTAAACCAGAGTATAAATAAGTCAGAGATTAGAGACCTCGCTCTCTTCTCTTCCGGCGAGGTTTGGGAACAGTGGGTCCCTGCGTTGGTCTCACTTATCTAAGGCTGAGGCCTGCAGAGTCCACTGTCCTGCCACGTGGAGGTTTGGAGAGTGCTGGCTGTGACTGCCGATCCTGCTGTTCTAAGGGACGTGGGGAGATCTGTTTTGTTAGTTATCAGTATAGTTCTTGAGTTTGATCTAGTATACCTGTTTGGTGTCCCTTTTCTTCCCTTTCGTCCCCTTTTTTCCCTTTCCCTATCCCTTTGGGCGGGTGGACGCCCTTTTACTGTGTATATAGCATCTTAACTGTACATAACTGTAATTTACATATAGATATATTTTTACGTAAGCAGCTTGACTTTGGGTTCTTTAATTTTTATAGTTTCTTTTCCTTTAACCTAAGGGAAGAAAGGAGGGGGGAAGGGGGCTGCTGTCGTAACTTTTGGGCATTTGGCAGGGAGCCAGGTCCAAACCGTCACACATGTCCACACATCTCTGCCTGGTTGTTGGTCTGGATTGACTGCGGTGTGACTGTTGTTGTCTTGAATCTAAAATTCAGTCACTGTGAAAACTGTAGCAAATGCTATTGAATCATTTGATAACTGTTAGGTTCGTCAATAATAAAATGACAGTAATTTCTTTGGCCTCCTTTTCTTTGTGTCCAAATCGTTTGCCTCCTGACCCTCCTACATACCAAGGCTCTGTGTAAATCACTCCCTTTCATAAAAAAAAAAAAAAATTTTTGTAACGTCCACTTTAAAAGCTAAACTATAAAACAACTCCAATTAGCTGTTGAAGAATTGAAAACATGAAGACAATTAAAAGAAGGGAAATAATTTGTTTTTCTCTATTTTAATGAGCCCCACAGTGTGTTTAGAGACAAGTCCATCCTCCTGACATACTTAGAGAAGACTGAAGAAGTGACTAAAGAATTCAGAAGCCAAACTGCCAGTCCCTTGAAGCATTGCTGGGCCCCACTGAGGGCAGGCACTGACAAAACCTCCCCAGGGACTCCTTAGAGCAGATCCTTGCAGGCCAGGAGTGCAGGCAGACAAAGGAAAGTGTCTTGTGGTGGCCTGAGGGGCAGAGGCAGCTGCCAGAGCCAAGGGCACAAAGGCCTGGGTGCCTTTGGGCCTTGCAGCCCTGCCAGAGCCCTTGGCCATCTGTGCTGCAGGCTGTGCTCCCCTGGCCCTGCTGCTCCTCTGG